GACACACTGAGAACTGTAAGAAAGTAAGTGAAAAAGACTAATTCTGCTTTCTCAAACTACCTTACTGGCACCCAGCTTTCTTTTGTAGCCTTGTTCTTAACAGAGGCTCATAAGAGACAGACTTTAACTTAACTCCCTCATTTTTTCCAAGTTCGGGTTAATAAAAGAATAGAACCAATGCAATTTATCACCTTTCTGAAAAAACCTCTGGTTTGCAATGAAGCAGCCTCTTGAGATTAATTCTGTATACAAGACCAACTATCACATCTTCACAAGCAGATTCAAGCTGTTGCGTACTATTTTAAGTATTTTATCTTCAAACAGGAGCTCCTTCAACAGCTGCTATCTACACCCTTACAGAAACTGGTGAACCAGCTTTACAGTTATTCACAGAATAAGCTTTACAGAGCTTCTCATCTAAGCCTAACTCTAGATGTGTTCAATCTGTCCAGAAAGTGGTATCCTCTACAACTCTTTCCTTTCACTCTTCCAAGCACCCTACACCTCTGAAGACAAAGAAACCTGTTTAAGCAGACCTTGGATGACTATTCTAAATTCCAAGAGACAAAGATATCAATCCAAACACTTTCAAACAAAAAGTGGGAAACGCAGAAAGATGAAGACCAGATTTTTTTTCTTCAAACATTAGGTTTCTTCTAGGAAACAAAACTTCACTGAGTCACCTGGCAAACAATTTAGGTTTATTTTTGGCATGAAGACATGCACAAGTCATCCCAGTCAAAAAAAACTGTTCCCCACTTTAAAGATAGAGAGCATGCATGGGAGAGATGGGAGGTAATTCTTACAGAAAAACAATCAATGGGAAAGACCCTTCAGACTTTACCACACAGGACAAAATACAAATTTCTCTCAATGTTACCATCAGTTTACACTAAGACATCTTCCAGTCTGTTAGAAAGAAAGAGGTTGCCACAAAATCACAGACAGTACACTTCAATCCTGAACAGATTAAATCAGCAATAAAGATCAAGCAGCATCCTCTTCTTGCTCAATAGGGAGCATCTTCTACAAGAAACCCCAAAAATGGTCACTTGGTCAGATTCCATCTCTGATGCATACGAGAAGAAACACAGTGCTCGGGCACAATGGAAGTCACACAGTTATTGGAAGACATACAATCTGGGCACTAAAATGCTCACACCGTGCTAGGCCGTAACTGAGAATGAAAATATTTTGTACTATCCCAAATGGAAAAGCATGGTACCATCACCCTGCAAAGCCAGGTAAGAAAACAGCCAACCACATTCTAGTTTCCAACTTGGAGAACCTAAAATATTCCAGAGTGAAAGACAAAGCTTGAAAAAGCCTTTGCCAAACTGATTAAATGCTCATTTCATCATGAAAATGCCAAAATATGCCAACATAGAGCTCAGGTAGGAAAAAAGACAATCACACCACACAGATGAAGAATATTATAGTGCACCAGCCTGACTTCTAGACAAGGACGACAAAAAGTTCTCTCAGGTTGCTTCTATTCCAGGCAAGCATACCCTTACCCTTTTGTGAGCACAACATGTCACAACACAACAGAGCAGTACTTACAGTTTAACATCCACTGCCACAGCTTTTCTCTTTAGACTACTCTGATTTGGAGACAGCAAAAATAAACCCCAAAACCCAGAAAACCACCAACCAAATAGGAAACACCAAACTTGAAGTATGAAACAACACTTATTCAATACAGCCATTCTTATTCAAGGAAGAGGTATCTGGTCCAAGCACAGTACAGGAGTCCCTCTATTCACAAACTTCATTTTAGCTCCAATTTTCATTTCAACATCTTTCACAGTCTTGAGCAACTTAGTTGCACACTCTGTCTGGCTCTCTCCAACTAGCAAGCATGCCTGTTTCACAAGATTGTTGCACATCGGTGGTCGAAGTCAAAAATCTGCTAAATAACAATAGAACAGCAGTGACAGCTCAAGAAAAAAACAAACCAGGCTGGAATACAGTTAAATAAGTACAAGTTATTGATAGTCCTCTGATAATGCCTCTGATGTATGCTCCTTAGCAGACAGGTAATCCAAACAACTTCAGTAAATACTCAAAGCTACTGCACATGTGCTGTTACATCAGACAGTTCAGAAATCCAGACTTTTCTGGATTTTTCATTTCAGTATGAAATTAGGTGTTAGCCGATTTTCACCATACCTTCTTCTTTCAGCATTCACTTCTGTTTCTAGGTTCCGTATCCATTGCTTGGTTAAAGGGATAGCAAGCCCCTGACAATGCCGATGCAATGCAAATCAGCATGCTATTACTCACATAATTTTAGGGGCCTTTACATTATTAAAAAAAAAAAACTGAATATAAACTACAGTGTCTAAACGTGATAGCATAATGTAATATAATATGTTTACAGGGGAGAGGAGGAGGGGGCATTCTTCAGCTGTCTCACACCCTGCCAGCCCTAAGCACACATGGGTTGAGGGTTGGAAAAGGTGTATTTGAAGCTCTTCAAGCTCTTCACTTAACAAGTGCATGCTCTGACTGCCAAGGTGGATAGGAGGAAGGCTGTAACACCATCACTTGCATTGTGAGGGATGCAGCTGTTGCTTCATTCTTCACAAAGCACACTGGCAGTGTTATCTGAAACACTGGACGACTCATCCAGAGACAACACAGTGAAAACATCTTGTTTCTGACAAGGTGTGGCAAAATCAAATGCCCAGCTGCTCAGCCTCATCAGTATCAAGGCAATACTCACAGGCTGAGATAAGATGGACAAGAAACTTGAGAGTCAAAGATGATTTATCTGAAGAGTAAGACCCCATGATTAAGCAAGAGCCTAATAAAAATATTAAAACTGTCGCGGTGTTAAACATTTTTGTGTGGATTTTTTTGCAAATCTGGATGTCGAATTGAACAGAGAACAGGAATCTCAGAAAGCATTGACTCTGAGGCCAATGACAGAGTCACAAGTGATAGACCTGGGGCTCCTTCAAGCACAGACAGTGACTACAGCACAACTCGCCTCCCCCTGTGGCCCAGCATTTGCTCCTAAAGACTTTGGATTCAAAGGGAAGGAATGATTTTGCTTTATAGTCAGATCTTTCTCACTACTTCAAACCTCATCCAAATCCATATGGACAGAAAATTATCATCTCCTAAGAACTAAGCAGCTTCTGTGAATCTATAGTAGTGACAATTGTTATGAAGCACCTGAAAGACTATAGCATCAACTGAGTGCTCCCTTCCCCTTCGAAAATATACAATATATTCTTGATAAGGCAGCATAAACTATTAAAATCCTGGAGTCAAATCCTTCTTTATACTCTGACAGCACCGAACTCATACAAACTCAGCATTTCCTCCACAGTAAAATCACTGCAGCGGAACATGTCTGTCTTGCTGGGGAAGGCTTACACAAATTTATCCAAAATTCATCACCCAGCCAGTGGAAGACAAGGTTTTCTGGCTCTTAATCCATATCATCTTTTGAATGACAAGGGCAGACTGAAGTATTTGGTGAGCCATGACAAAACATGCCGTTGACCATTTCGAACGTTTTTATGCATGGTCTGTACTTTTCTACTGCTCCAGATCTTCTGTGGCACATACATTGGCTAGTTTGCCTAGATCTTTGCGGGAACAAGGAAAGTCTGAGCTCACAATCCATTTCCTCACTAATTACAAAATGTTCACAATCCATCTCCTGACTAATTACAAAATGCAAACTGAAACACTAGCCTTACTTTCAGAAGTGCTGGGGGCAGGGGGAGTCACCAAAACAAACATTACCTTGCCCCTTTTTCTCTAATCTTGTTCTTGAAAACCTGTCTTTGGTCTCAATCTCAGCTTCAAAAACCATTTTAAGTTACAGTAAAAAATTCAATTTAGACAAAGGCATGAAAAAAACCAAGTGTCATGAAGGGAAGCAGAAGAAAACTGGTCTGTCTCGTTCCTATTCTCCACGTACAGCATATAGGATTGAATGTTAGCAAAAAGATTTTAAAAACACCAACAGTAAGACTTCATGCATCCATTTTTAATGTTCGTTCCTTTTCCTTTAATAGCAGATATATAGCATCTTCTGATCATACTTTCTGAAGAATTGTCTGAATGAAGAACTACAGCATGCCTACATGCTTTTAAACACAGAGATGACAAAAGCTACACACACGGTGGAGGACAGCAGTAAGATCAAAATTATTTCAACACATTAAACAAAGATCGGGGAAAAAACAAATTAGGCAGCATCAAGTGAAAGGTAACACACTCAGGAAAATACAACAGACTAAGTACAGGACGCGGAACAAATTTCAGCAGTACACCTTCAAGGAAAAGGGTTGCAAGACAACAGAACTCTACCACATCATACCGTTATGAAAATGTAGATACCATGCCACAATGTGCAATACTGGCCTATCTATCAGGGTACACAAAACAATCCCTGTGCTCTTGCAAGTATGCATGTAAACAGCCCTGCTGGAAAGCCTCTCTCTGCTTTGGCAGCACACTTTCAGAAAGATAGGAAGTGAGTGAAGTCAGAACAATCCAAGGAAGAGTACTACAGATCTGTTAAACAGGACCCACAGAGAAATATGAAAGAATAGGGTTTTCAGTCTAAGAAGGTAAGTGCAAGGGAAATACACAGTTACAATTTAAGTTTGTAGAAGGCTGCAGTTATGAGAAAGAGAATAACCTCTTCTTCATGTTCACTGAGAAGCAGCGAGGTAAAACTGCAGCAAGACATACTCATGTTGGATGACAGGGAGAACCCATCCAGCACTAGGAATACTGGAGCACTAGAGGTGCGGAGTCCTTGTCAAAAAAAAATCTTTAAGAACATATCTGATACGCACATCAGAGGTTGGTTGTTTCGGTGGGCTTTGTTTGTTTGGATTTTTTTTTAAGATTAATCCATTTAAGCCACTAAGAAACACAGACGAGAGGTAAGCTGCATCCAAATTACTCCCCTTACCAAATCTCACAACCTCTTTTAAAGCATCAGCAGTTTCAAAACCACTTATTCTTACCTCTTTGCTTCCTCCAGATGACAAAGGTATTCATAGGCTACATTCTGGCGTCGCCTTTCATCCATTTCCTCTGCTGTTAATCTCTCGTTATCCAACACAGCTGCAAATAGTCAAAACGCATTCTCAGGTTGTTGGAAGACTGAATGTAACTGAACAGGTACCCCAAAAGTCAGATCCAAACATTGCCACAGAAACTCATCACAGGTTTTGAGTCAGAAAAACAAGAGACCAAATATAGCTGTTCTTTACATGCAAGAGAAGAGACCTGGTTTCCTTATTCTTCCTTCCCTGTCACTTAAACTTGTCATCTTTCCTCTTTCTGACCTCAATCTGTGATCCAACTTCTTCCACCTTCCAATTTCTTAGAAACTGTCCTTCATTTTCTTGTTTTCTTCTAGCTTTGCCTTTTCCTCAAAAGCACATCAGTGACCACGCGTCCCTCCATCTATCCTCCAACTCTGGAAGTCCAAGACTAATGACAGACAACATACATTCACATCGTATAACCCCTTCTGTATCTTTACAGTTCGTGTCTATAAAAAGAGGGAAGTGCTACTCCCAGTCCTCAAGTGGAAGGGAATCGTTCAGATCCACCTGCCTGTCATCTTCAGATCAAGCTGAGGGGTATGTGCCTAAATCTTCCAGATTCTGTGTGTTTAAAGCCTCACTGACAAAGCCTGCTCCTTCCACTCTTACTGTTAAGTATCTCAATACAACGGTCTCACGTCAAAAAAAAACCAAAAAAAAAAAAAAAAAA